TTACATCTTTCTTCTACATTTCATGGTGTTCCTATTTTTCTTATGACTGTTGTGGTGATACTAATATTTACTAATATTCTCCCTTTCTTTGCATATTTCTTCTGGATTTCATGGTGTTCCTATTTATCCTATGGTTGTTGTTGTGATACTAATATTGTCTCCCTTTTTGCCCTTTTGTCTTTTTGTTTTTTTTTGAGCCGAGGGTCTTTCGAAACTGCCTCTCTACTCCTTCGGGTAGGGGTAAGGTCTGCGTATACACTACCCTCCCCATACCCCATTAATGAGATTATACCCCATTAATGAGATTTTACTGGGTTGTTGTTGTTGTTGTTGTTGTTGTATCTTAATCATTACTAGGGTAAAGAACATGGTTTCACAATGTTTTCTTTGTTTTTTTCCTGGTGAAGTAAGGCTTGAACAGATTTGTTCTGTTAAAGCCTAAAGAAATATCTGATGAGAGAAATTTGCTTATTCTAGACATTACCATTTCTCAGATAAAGAACATGCTCAATGTAAACTGGTAGGATCACATAAGATCTTGATAGAGTGACACTTCACATATTAACTAACTTTACAAAAGGGCTGAGAGATTCTAAGGTGAATTGCTACAGAAATCTTTCAATCATAGGTTTAAGTAGCTCTTCCTGATGCTTTGCAAAAGGATTTTCCTGGTCTATTCTGGTTGTTCTTTGTTTATCCCATATTGTGCCCCACAGTCAGTGGGTGCATGAGTGCGCCACATGACATATAAATTACCAAGTGGTTCACATCTTTTCTTGATTTCTTGCACATGAAGCACCAAGTTTAGTGAGCTACCCTTCTATTCCTCAAGTTTTTAGTTGTAAGAATGGCTTTCCCTGCTGCTAGCGAAGCAAACAAGTACACTTTTGTAAGTGTTCTAGGCATGCATACAGCATACCAAATGAGAAGACTCATGACAATTTTAGAGAATTCTATGTTCAGCATCGTTTAGCCGTTGAATATAGTTATTCTCCTCTCAACTCTTTTATTTCTTTGTATTGTTTGATGGCCATATTTTAATTCCTAAAATAATATATTTGAATGTATCGCTATTCCATGTAGGTCTTGGTTGGGGTAAAGTTCTTAAGGAAGTGGCCGTTTATCGGTCGTTTGCGGGTGTGCTTTGTGGAGCCTCCTTATTTTCAGATGACTGTGAAGCCAATTTTCACACATGGGCTTGATGTAACAGAACTTCCTGGAATTGCTGGATGGATGGTTAGTTGAATGAATATCTGTGTCTGTGAAACATTGAATTCACATTTACACAATCTTCCTAAGATTTGTTTGTCATCCTTATCAGGATAAACTACTTGCTGTTGCCTTTGAGCAGACACTTGTCGAGGTGCGGTTCGTTCATATTTAAGTCTGTCTTATATTTAACGGTATTCCCCTAATATGTTTGTGGTAGAAGCACATTTTAGACTTTGATATGCTTCAGAATGGTGGAAAAAGTTTCAAATAAGTTACGTTTTTGCTGAAAATGGTTTGAATAGCTTACAATCAGGTAATGTGGTCTCCAAGTACCCAAAAGAAAAGGAAAAACAGACAGCCTTTGTAAAGAGCTTTAGACTAAGTTATTCAAAATATCTTGCAGCCCAACATGCTGGTGGTGGATGTTGAGAAGTTTGTGTCGCCGCAACCAGGTAATGGTCACGCTAGTTCCCGCTCCCCCAAACCTTTTGGTGCTTGGTTTGCTCCAATATTATTGGCTCCAACTCATTTACATGAAATTTGAATTTAATTTTAGATACAAGAATTATCAATACTCAAGAAACTATAATTAGAGAATGTTTCAATTAGTTGAGATGGGAATTTCATTTTTTTGAAGAAAAATCATTATGAAGATTGTTAAAATTTGAAAAATAATGTCTTAATATATTAAAAAGATTTATATGCATATTTGAAGTTTGATTTCAATCTATAAGTTTTACTATTTATAAAAAGTAGGTAAATAAGTGAAAACTGGCTTTTGAGACTTTAAAAAGGCAAAAAGAGTCATGTGCATTTTCTCCATCCAAAAGTTGAACCTTTAAGATCAAGTCTCGTTTTCCGGTAAATCGTTAGTATTATGTGCACAATTTAAAAATTAGGACAAAAGCGCACATCCGCTTAAACCAGGTATCGAGAATGCAATTTTGCCTTTTTTTTTTGTTGTTCTTTGTTCTTTTACTTTGTTAAAGGGTTACCCCAACCGGTTTTAGCCCTGAACTTGTCACCTACTTAACCCATTCAGATATCAGATTATTTATCTGGATTAAAGTAAATCAAGGAAAAGAAGTTTTAGAAGGCCACCTCCTGCTTGAGTGAATACTGAATAGATAATTAATCCCTAGTTATGTTGTGATAGATTATAGCGGCTTGCAAGCATTTTTATTCTACCAATATATGATTCTGTGCTAGTGTTGTGGAAGAAGTCCCGATTACATGAATGCAGTGAAGTTAACTTGAATGTGTGGAAAGCCTGGAATGTTTTATTTGTTTTAAGATCATTATCCACAATGTTATAAGGTGATATTGGGCGGTGAATGAACCATGTGAGTTACTCATTTTTTAGAACTTAAACTGGTTGATAGTCTGATACACAACGCATTGTTGATAAAGTTCTAATATGAGCCATACTGCACTGGTAGGGGATTGAATAGGATTTGAGGTGGTGGTCATGTTTTCTGGAATATTTAGTGTGTTGTAGTGGGTGTCTCGACCTAATCAATAATTGAAATTACATACAAGCATACAAGTTTTGCTACCATTCACTTCCCCACCCCCAGGAATAATAAAAAAGGAAACGAGTAAAAACATTAGGACCTCAATGTGCTTGAATTTAGTCTATTTGATTTTTAAAACAGTAGGCAAGATGCGATATCTGAAATATTTGTTTTTTGAGAAGGAAAAAAAAAATCACGTTTATTTTATTAATGGTGGAGGTGTTCATAGAATTGAACATTGCATGCTTATCGTCAAACACAACACTTTTTATCTTTCATGTGTATAATAGTATAACAAATACTAATTAATCATACGTTTGTACATGCTGCAGAACTTGTGTAGATGGAAATATGGGATTAGAGTTGTTGGGCTTCTGTTTTTTCGAATGATGGAATTCAATTAAATGTGTACCGCTGTTATAAAAAAAAAATGTGTACAACTGCTGCTAGATAAGTCTTTCGTTCTCATTTTGTCAGAAAACTGGTTCTCGGTTGATGCTAAGGAGCCCATTGCTTTTGTTATTTTAGAAGTTCTTGAAGCAGCTGACATGAAGCCATCAGATTTAAATGGTAGGTAGAAAATTGTCTTGCTGTACTTCTGTCAAATTATTAGAAATGTATGCCTAAGAGCTGGGTGGTCTTTTTCAGGATTGGCTGATCCATATGTTAAGGGACACCTTGGCCCCTACAGATTCAGGACTAAGACTCGGAAGAAGACATTGACTCCACAGTGGAATGAGGAGTTCAAGATTCCAATCTGTACATGGGAGTCTCCTAACAACATGCTCAATCTAGAAGTTCGTGACAAGGACCATTTTATTGATGATACATTGGGGTTTGTCCTATTCTCTCTTGGCAATTTAAATACTAGCCACCTTTCACCCCTTGACCATGTAGTGGTTGGGTTACTCTCAGAAATTTTCGTTCTTTTGTGGTCTCTTCCGGTCTTGTGACGATCTTAGTGACCTAACTCATGCTTTAGGGGCTTGAGTTCTATTTCTATACTCATCTTGTGCTCACAGTTTTTATCATGTTTAGCATTGTGCTTCAGCTGTCTCTTCTGCTAATCTTGTTGCTATCGTACTATGCTGACATGCAAAATATAGCGATACTAGTTTTTGACGTATGTTTTATCATTTTGTTCGCATCTGGAGTTTTCTCATACATGAGAGGAATTAGGGTTTCTTATTTATGGGTTTTGAAACATCAGAATGCCTTATGCTCGACAAATCTCATTACAATCGATTTGTTTGTTGTTTTAGATTTGGTATTTATCTCCAGCAGACCCCACTTCAACCCTCTGGAAAATGAAGAAAGCGGATTTTTTTTAAAATAAAGGATCTGCATTTATAATTTTGTTTTCTAGTGCTACTATTGAACTAGACGTGTAAAAGTTCTCTTGAACTTTGACTGCTAAAATAGAGAAGTGTCTTTTTTGACGTTAATAAACTGCATGAACCACCTCATCTAAAAGTTTAAGTTACATAAGGGATCACTTCTAAGTATTTATTTTAAACCTGCAACACGCCCCTTAATGTATAGAGTTCATACTTCTTTGTCGGGCTAAGCATGCAGAAATATATCCTTGGTGAGTGGAGGTGAGACTCGATCTTAGGTCTGCCTACTTTGATACCATGTTGAACTGTGTGTACTGTGTCATCTAAAAGTTAAAACTAGTAGATTATACTACTATTCTAATCATTTATTTTGGCCTGCACCAAACTTATTGGACGATAAATTTTTCCCTTTTGGTGTATGCTTTATCTGTCATTTCCCCTTTTTCATTTTGACATCAGTATGTTCTCCAACTGGAATATTATTCAAAGCTGACATAAGCAGCCTATTTACTTGAATGTTCTTTTTTTATGTTAACAGAGATTGTTCCATCAACATCTGCGATTTAAGGGATGGGCAGAGGCGTGATATGTGGCTGTCTCTTCAGAACATTAAAATGGGGAGATTGCATCTTGCCATAACTGTTGTTGGCTGTAGCAAAAAGGTATATTTTCTTATGAAATTTGTCATTAACAAGAAATTAGAATGTTAAGAAGCAAAGATTTTGCAGGGATTATCTTCTTTGCGCCTGAAAGTGCTCTGCGTTATTCTGCTGATGAATCATGAATGCACTAAAACTAGTAAGGACTATGCTAAGTTTAAGGCAGTGCTAAGTTTTCAGCAATTTTCAGGGTGCGGAGCAGTCATATGAGCGAGGAAGCGTGGACGATGAACAGGATATCAAATTTGCTGAGATGGATACAACTGAACAAAGCTCCTTAACCACTGAATCAGCCGATAAATCATCAAAAGCTGCAGATAAGTATGAACCTATTAATATCGAAGGGCAGCAGGAGACTGGTATATGGGTACACCATCCAGGGAGTGAAGTAGCACAAGTCTGGGAACCAAGAAAGGGAAAAAGCAGGGTTGATGGGGAAGTTCTTGGCGTGAGTGGTGATTCCAAGGGAAGTTTTAAGTCAACAGCAGGGGGCTCCACTCACAATGATGAGTGCAGGTCTGATGGAAGTGTTAATGGAAGTAAGCCAGATTCTCCTAGTCGAATTCACAGGGGTTTACATAAGATCAGCTCGCTTTTCCACAGAAGTCCTAGACACGAGGATAAGTCAGGCAATCTCGGAGAACCTGAGACATCTCAACACGAGAATCTTAGGGCGGTTAGTGCCAAGGAAATTGGAGTGAAGATTATAGTGGATGACACGGTTTCCCTTTCATTATTGGCCACAACACCTACAGAAGATGGAAAGGAGAGTCATGAGGGAAATGGGGAACGCCCCAAAAAGGGGAGAGTGAGAGACAAGGCAAAGAACATCCTTAAACATGCTGGTAAGTCTGTTGGTGGTGGCATAAAGAAAGCGGTGTCGCGGAAGTCATCAGGAAAATCTAAAGGGGAGCTAGAATCATCAGAGACAGAGAGAGTGAGCTCCCTGGAATCTGATTCTTCTGATGCAGAGTCTCAACATTCATCAATTGATTCGCCTCGAGTTGTAGCACCTTCAGTTGGCAACACTTCCTTAGCCAGCTCTGGTATTGAGAGTTTTGACACCACAATAAAGACCAGTGGACTGGTAGATAGGGAAAGCATTAAAGGTCCAGATGAGGTAGCAGGGAACGCAAAAGACAATCATGGCTTTGGTCAGACTTCAAGTTTCAAAANCCCGTACAGTCTCTTTAAGCAGATTGATGTTCTTATTCCGTTTTACTTGTATATGCTGTTATGTCCTGCCTGTAATTGCTTCATGTAGGATAAAGCAAACTGTACCATAACTTCAAAAGTGTCTACTTCGTTCAAGTTCTCTAAATCATGAAATTTTGGAAAGATACAACTTTTCTTAAAATCTCTTTCCTTGATTCCTCACCAGTGTAAAAGTTCTGGTTTATCTTGGTCAAGTTTGTAGGCATGAAAGTTTTGGAAACATCAATTTTGGATCTTCCATTTCTTTGTTGGTTCTTTTATCTTTCCCCTTCTAGACGCCGAGCAATTTCATGTGCTCTACTGTACATGGATTTTGCGCTAGAGGTCTTTGAATTGCTCTTGTTTGAGCTAAAGGAAAGAGGTCTAACTCATTCAAGAAATGAATCAAGGGATTTCTCCGTCTTTTGGTGTATAGGCGTCTTGTTGATATCGTATTAGATTTGAAGTCACTTCACAAATTTTGTAATCTGCCAATAACGGGTTGTTATTGTATTTGTTCTTCTGCTCAATCCTTTTCTTTTCCTAATATGAGTAGTAGTTATGCTAAGGGGACAACGTGAAGATGTACCATATTAGCAGTCTGTCACGATCCAAAATTCACTAGCCGTGATGGCACTTAATCCTACCCGCCAGGTAAGCCAACAGTTAGCATAACCATAATACTACTACAACCATCCCCAAAACGCGGTGTCAATGAGTACACGAGCACTACCGAATAACAAGCTACAAGCGAAATCCTCTAATATAGCTGTCTGAACAATATAATAGTAAAGATAGAAATAACCAAAAGAGAACTTCAAGGACTGCGGACGATGTAGCAGCCACCTTGCAGTCTCCCAAGAGCTAATAGCAACTCAACTCTGGAAATCGCCTCGATCGGATGTACCTAGATCTGCACACGAAGTGCAGAGTGTAGTATAAGTACAATTGACCCATGTACTGAATAAATAACAACACTAACATTGGGCTGAAAGCAGTGACGAGCTCAGAAACAATAACCAGATGCCAAAATCAATTACCAGTAACAGTTCAGAATATAAAGGGGAACAATAGAAACATGTAACTCAATGATACTATGTTCAGCTTGTTCACTTTTCAGAAACTTAGGCATGCTTTCACGTATAACAGTTAAGCCCAACACAGATAAAACATTTCATTTAGCAGTTAGCATGAGGAAGGTACATCTCTATGCCTACATGTCAAGTATATATGTCAAATCAACAATATCACAGTGGATCCATCAAAATATTCACACTTAGCACTGTACGGGTGCTTGGCATATCTGTCCATCATCAAACACGTATATAAAACATTGTGCCTGCACCCACTATTAGCATATCAGCCTCCGGAATAGGCGGATTCTGCCCAAGCTCTAATCATAATCATATAGTCCAATAGTGAGGCCTAGTACACGCGTGGTCCCAAAACAATAACACTTAGCCCAATATGGGCCTGGCATACGCGTCACCTCAAAATCAATATCAAATCGGCTCTTTGGCCCAACTGAGTCATTTACCATTCAAGTCTCAGATAATACATATCAGAATACTCAGTTTAACAATGTTACACATAAGCGGCATCAACAACATGTGAGGAATCAAATAAGAAATACTGAGATAGAGATATCATACTCGGATATAGCATCATGACGGAGAATATATGTACAATTAATACAAATAGCTCAGAAACGACAAGAATAACACTATCAAGTCTCAAACAAATAGCACATAGCCTAGACATGATATCTAACATGATTCACAGTTCAAATAACCGAACAAATAGCGAAAACACGGGTATAATAAGACATGATAGCAAAACATGCCCGATAATAGCCTAAAGGCCTCCCCAAACCATGAACACACTGGTGCACGTACACATGCCCATCACCCAGCGCGTACGTCACCCCAATATCTTTCATATAACGTAGTTCCCATTGTTAAATACCCTCAAATCCAAGTTTAGATGTGTTACTTACCTCAAACGCGCGAATCAATACTCCAAAAAGCCATTCCTCCACGAATCGGCCTCCAAACGACTCAAATCTAGTCACAAACAACTTAATATCAACAAATAATGTCGTATGAAACAACTTCAAACAATAAAGTTTCGATCTTTATCAAAGTAAAAAAGTCAACCCAAAAGGTCAACCCTAGGCTCGCACCCCTGAACCCGGTCAAGCTCACAAATTCCGAACACTCATTCAATTATGAGTTCAACTATACCAATTTCATCCAACTCCGACCTCAATTCCACCTTCAAATCCTCAATTTTCATTTTAGGAAGTTTTTACTAAAATGCCCCATTTCTCTAATTCAAATCACCAATTAAATGATAAAAACTAAGATGGAATCATGAATAATGAACAAATCCAAGTAAAAAACACTTACCCTGAACCAAATCATGAAAATTCCCTCCAAAATTGCCCAAAACCTAGCTTTACAACTCAAAATATGATATAATAACTCTAACCCAGATTTTAAACAGTCTGCCCAGTCATTTCCCTTCGCGAATGCGGAAGATGCCTCGCGTTTGCGAAGCATAAATCTCACCAACTGCCAAATCCTCCTTCGCAAATGCGACAAGCTTATCGTGAATGCGATGACCAAATGACCCCAAGNACGCCTGCATGCCTTCATCGCGAACGGGCTCCCTGCTCGCGTTCGCGAAGGCCATAACCCTCCAAAGCATCGCAATCGCGGTCACCCATTCGCGAATGCGAAGAAAAGTCCATCAGCCCATCAAGAAGAGCGTTCGCGAACGCGACCCCTATGTCGGAGACTCGACCCCTGTGTCGCGAACGCGAAGAAGTACACACCAGACACTACATCAGCTGTCCAAACATGAAGAAAATGGTCTGAAACTCATCCGCAACACGCCTGAGGACCCAAGACCCCGTCCAATCACACCAACAAGTCCTAAAACACAATACAAACTTACTCGAAGTTTCAAATCAAATCAAACAATACCAAAACCACGAATCACACATCAATTCAAGTCTAATAAACTTCCAACTTCTAAAAGCAATGCCGAACCATATCAAATCAACTCTGAATGACCTCAAATTTTGTATGCAAGTCCCAAATGACACAACTGACCTATCCCAACTCTCTAAACTAAAATCCGAAACCGATATCAATATAGTCAACTCTCGGTCAAACCTAGCAACCTTCCAAACTTTCAACTTTCCAACTTTCGCCAATTTAAGCCAAAATAACTTACTGACCTTCAAATCCAAATCCGGACATACAATTAAGTCCAAAATCACCATACGAAACTATCAGAACCATCAAAACTCTATTCCGGAGTTGTCTACACAAAAGTCAAATTTCTTCCAACTCTTCCAACTTAAACTTCCAACCTTGAGACTAAGTGTCCCAATTCATCCGAAACATACCCGAAACCAGATCAACCACCCCGGCAAGTCACATAACTACAAATGAACATAGAAGAGATAATAAATAGGGAAAAGGGGCTACAATACACAAATCGACCGGCCAGGTCATTACATAGTCTCTTCGATTGATGCCACAAAGTTACCCTATGTGATTAGGTACTGTAGCAAAAAATAATACTGACTTTTCATAAGGGTAGTATATTTTGATAGTTGTGTATTCATCAAACGTCTATGCACTGTACCTTATCAAAGTAGTAAATCTATACATAAAAGAATATAACCTATTGCTAACCTATTGAATATATTATATCCACATGACAAGATGGTTTTTACTATTTTACTGAAAGTAACCTAGACATCTTGGTCTTCTACAGTACTAAAAAATGAAGTATATGCACGTGCAAGTTATGTAGTCAAAACCGAGTTGTTCCAAGGAGAGATCACTAATGATTCTTCTTTCCTGCGAGAATTGGCTGAATTTGCAACCTCCTACTGAAAGCCTCATTAAACAGAAACCGAGTTTGGAAAGCTGAAATTATTGGAAGCCAAGCCAATGAAGATATAGGTGCAAAAAGAACAACACCCATTCCATAGTCATAAGCCCGAGCAAACACCCGAGTGAAGTGCCATAATCCAGTACCTTCAATCTTGGGTCTCACTGCTTGCCCAACCTGAGGAAAAAACAACCATTTATGCAATAAAAAGATTTAAACGAGAAAACAATCGGACAAGCAGAAAGTAGTACAACATCAAGGCTTTTAGGAAGAACATATACCAATATGAAGCCCCAACCAGTTGGTAGAAAAGCTAGACAGCAGACAATCAAGTCTTTCACGGACAGATGACATATGATTGAGAGGGTAATAGTAGTAGCTACAACTCCTAGGAAAATAAAAGCTTTAAACAGCCGGAAAGTTAACTGATGGTTTGCACTTAAAACCCGCCTTCCAATATTCAGCACCTGTGTCATGTTGGAGAATTCATTAAAAAAGTGAACAATGTTAACAAGAAATTAGATACTAGTCAAAACAATGTGAAGAAAGAAGCTTACCTTGACCAAGAGGAAAATAAAAGCAATGACAACCCATGAGAGCACATAGACTAGGAAATTTTTATGGGAGCCGGATATGTCTAGGTGATACACCAGTCCATACTGGTAAAGGAAAAATCTTAGTGAAAGGAGAATCTCAATTAACCGAGAAAATAACCCTGCATGACGAAGATGAGCTTGTTCGTCATTCCACCAAGACTGCCAACTTTTGTCTTGTTGTATCCCTATACCACCTTGCTGATTGATCCACTTGTTCCAATCTTTCCAGTCATCCATTATCTTGCCCCAGTCAAATCCAGAAGGATTAAACAGAAACGGCGCAAACAACCAAGTCAATGACATGAACCATATAGCATAAGTTGTTAAAACATATGCCATGTTGCTCTCGTATGATCGCCTATACAAATCATAAACAATTAATAGAAGCAGAAGTTCAAATCCTTTTATAAAGTGACTCCGAGAGTAAAGTCTATAGTTTTCGGTGAAGCTCGCATGAAAAACCACTACTTTACGACCAGTGGGTCTATACTTGGCACCCCCATGAAGAATTGTTCTGCCATAATAGTGAGATTTTGTTCCGTAGGAAAAAGTAAAGAAAACAGCAGCCAGTTGCAATTGCATGAGAACAAAATCTTTAAGGGCATTAAGATACCCTCGCTCAAGTCCCAACTCTATCACCATTGGTAACCCCGTTAAAAGTCCAAGCTGGATAAATGACTGAGAAGCTAGAGCTGTTTCCAGTGATTTTATGTTTTGCAATTTCGCCTCAATGAGAAGGGCTCTTTGTAGACCACTTAATACCAGGTATAGCTGCCCGTAGAGAAACACATATATCGTAATCACTGATAGCTGCAAAGTTTTGATAACAGGGATTAAAAGAGACATAGAAATCAGCATAGCCAAGTGTATCTCAGGAGACCAAGAGAATATGGAAGCTGAAACGCTTGAATTATTTATAAGAATTACCACTGTAAATTTCTTGATTAAGCAAATAAGGTACTCCCTTGGACTCAGAAAATATCACATAGTCTAACCTACACAGTTAATCAGAGTAAAATGTTTGAATTGATTATTCTATGAGTTTAATAGAAATAATTATTAGAAATACGAAGTAGTTGATTAAGAAGATGTTAGTTTCACGTGTTAAAGCGAACAAGAGTCCAGTTTTCTGTTAAGGACAGAAGGAAAATAGGTCAAGTATTGGATGGAATAATAATAAAATTGCAGCAGTTAAACCAACTCTTCACCGATGCAAAGACTTTACAGAGAACGTCAGAAGTGTCGAATAAGACCACGGTTCCAAGTCGCATACTAATGCTTAGTAAGAAAGTCTAGTACTTAGAGACAGTAAAAAAGGATAAACTCCAAGTTTGACTAAAAACTACTGAGTACTAAGTATTAATAAAGTTGCAAGTGAAGTAATGGTTTATGTTAATTTCACTTGTTGGAGTAAGAAAGAGGTCGCCTTTTTCAAGGACCAAAACAGAAAGCAGGTAAAGCATTTCCGGATGGAGGAAGAGAGAATTGCATCAGTTAAGCCATTTTGATCCCTCACCACGCAAAGATTTTATTAAAAAAGGTTGCAAGTGTGACGAAGCAGGTCGAGTTTCCAAGAAGCTCATTCATGACGTACTAAACAAATTTCATGTTCAAAGACAGCAAAAAGAAGATAAATTACAGGATGTAACATAGTTACCAGGCTGTTGAAGTAGAAGCCAACGGTTGTAAAATAACAAGAGAGCATTCGGAAGAAGTCAAATCTATGACCAAGGCGGTATATATCACGGCTGATTGTTTGTTCGCTGTTTCCATTGGCAACTTTAGCTTCAAACTTTGAAATCTGGTTAAGGCCTACATCACGGCCTTTTCCGACTTGCATGTACTCAAGATACGTGACATATCCCCGTCTCAGAGTTGTGTTAAATCCTACATTACATCAGAGAGTCAAGTGCTTGCTAATCTGTACAACTCTATGATGTTCAAATAAACAATTTGCATTAAGTGGAAAACCTGCAAAAACGTCTTCGCTCAAGTTGATTGTTTTGGATGCTTTGCTAATGCCACCTCTTGTCAAATGAAATACTCGGTCAAACAAATCCGGGTGACCATAATGGAACCTGACCCTGAAATTTTCGATGGAAAAGAAAGTAAAAAATAATATATATAAATTTTTTTTAAAAAAAAGAGAGACAGTTGCTGTAAGCAAACTGAATATATTCTTGTTTTCCTTTATGCAGAGAACAAGAAAAACACAATGTGACTTTTGGAAAGGAATATAGAACTGATCTTTTATCCCCAAAGATTATTTCCTTATTAATCTTTTGATTATTATAACATAAAAGTAAGCATGTATAAAATAGGCCGTAAATTACCTGAGTGGATTAGCCAGAAGCCTCTGGCCAATGGTAACAAAACTGGTCTCTTGATAGGACATAAACCAAGCTAAAGAAGAAACACTGCAATCAGAGAAGTGGATGGAAGCTTCTTTAGCATTTAATTCAAAAATTTCTCTTCTTTATTCTTATTTTCTTTTAATATCTATTATCCTCTTTTTAGAGTTAACTCGTTCTGCGTAACAGGCATTAATATTCTCGTTGACAATGTAGTTGATGCAGGAATTCCCAATCCACATGTATAGCTAAAAACAAATGGCACTGGATTCAAATAGCCAACTATGGTAATTCAACTTAGTAAAGTTCAGAACTCAAACTTTAACCCTAACCCAAGAACAATGTGTAAAACTGGCTATCTCCATATTGGAGATTAACAATGAAAAATGAACTCCAGATAACATTCTTACCCCTAACCAAAGCTGGCTATTATACAACAACAACCCAGTGTAATCCCACAAGCGGGGTCTGGGGAGGGTAGGATGCACGCAGCCTTACCCCTACCCTGGAAGGGCAGAGATATTGTTTCCGATAGACACTCGGCTAAAGAAAAGATGGAAAAATTGTATAATCAGGTCATTGTAATCATAATTCTCAGATGCTGACCTCCCTGTAAATATGTGCTCTCTCATGCCAAGTACCGTAGGATGCCGCCGACCATGGTCTTTCAGGAACTCTTGCAAGATATTTCGTACTTTCAAAGCTTCTTCTAAATAGCTATCCTGTAAGAACAAACTATTAGAACACATATATGAGATTATTCTTTTTTCTTTTTCCATAAAATGAAGGCTGATGAATACCTGGTTCATGTCAATGGTTTGGAGAGCTTCACCACGTGTGAAAATTATGGAATGATTTTGATTTTCCGGTTTCCCCTCTCCAATATTTGGTGGGCCAGGAAGCTTTATGCGGTATACTTCCTATAACAGTTGACAAACAATTGTAAGGATAAGATAGACCATTAACAGACAATGTTCATTCTGATTAATTAAGGTACCTTATTCACCTCAAATAGAAGTACCTACATCAGAAGAATTTGAAACTAAAAGGCCTAACCAAGTGAAGAAAAGGACAGACTAGGGATATTCACCCTAAGAATAATAACATAGGGAAAAAGAAAAATTTCTTATTGTTTTTCTAATTAGGAATATTCACCCTAACACATTAGAGTATATATCCTTCACAAGTTTCCAGACTTCAAATCTATTAAACAACTTAATAGACTAGAACGATCAAATTAAAATTGTCTTATGCAAGTCCAAAAGTATCACAAGTAAAAGTAAAACTGGAAGGAGGTGATATAATCTCATCCTTTTCTGACATATTAACTACATATACTCTTTTGATAAAAGCCAACTATTAACTTTGAGACTCTTCAACTAACACCAGCAATACAGCATGCAGGAAATCACTTGTCCTTGACCCTAGTAAAATGCCACAGAATATGGATACAAAGATATACAAATTCCATTAATGATCATGAAAACCCGGGGATAACAAATTATTTCCTATCCGACAAGCATGGTGGAATTACACTTTCTTGAAGCGATGTTTCTATTTAATATATTCAACTGCTGAGATATTTCTTTTTCATACCTGGTCAAAACCGTTAACAGCTTTAACTAGAATAGATGAATAAACTTTTCGCGGCTTGTCTGCCGTAATTTCTTCTTTCTCCTCAACATAAGCAACACGCAAGGAAGGGTACCTTTAATTACCCAAAAAAAGGAAGGAAAGGGTACCTTTCAGCAATACATCCACAAAATAACATTTCTAAATTGCTTAAAAACTTCTATTCAAGTACAATAATGTCCAGAATGAAGTTTCATCGAAAAAAAGCACCTTATCATCAAATCAAGTATGTCTTTGGCCTGAGGGTCGCCAGAGTTCTTCTGTGATCCATATATTTGACAAGACACAACATGTGTAAATTTCATGTCTGCTAAGGCTTCAAGTTGAGCTGATAATGTATCATTTTTCTTCTCAATTGCATCATAACCTTGGAGGATATCTGGGGAAAGATAGAAAATGCAAACAACGTCCTCTTTAGTCAAATATGGGGATGGGGTGAAAAGCAAAACATCTGAATTGTTGTTTTGACAAACCATCATCCTCAGCCATGTCAAGAAAAGCTTGCAACTTCAGCGCTTTCCTGTAATACATCATTCCTCGGACTGTTTTGTTGAAAGAAAGAAAACAGAATAAAGAACATCTCTAGTAAGAACAGAGTTTAGATTTACACTTTTTATGGAAATCACATTTAAATGAAAGATTATTCCACCTGTTCTGCTTAGAGTTTGCCCTCGGAAAGAAGCCCAATTTCGTTCTTCTTCCTCGAGTTCATCATTAGATTCATCTGATCTTTCCCTTTCCATGCGCTCCAAAAAGTTTTCCCATTCATCTGACAATATATAATTAAAATTAAGATTTAATGAATCACAATTGGACCTTAACTTATGAGATGGAAAGAGCTCTCTCTCCCTCTCTCTCCCAATCTCTAAAGTCACAGATAAGTTTTGTGGTAGCAACCTGGAAATATGTTTTTCAAATAGAAAAGGATAGCGACCCCTTGTTTTGTTGAATTGAGCTCCTTCTTTGAAAATTTAACTTCCTCCATGTAGTGTGGAGTTAAAACACTGTGAGATAAACAAGTTTCATAAGTTGATATATTGATGAAATCTGTTTACAAGAATAGTGAGACTCTCATCTTAAACTGTTGTGCTTGACAAGTTCAATTGATTTGTCAGCTTTAGGTGAAACAGGAAGAATTGAGACAGCATTTTGATATCCGAGAAATTCCCTAGGGCCAGTGGCATGGTTTGAAACTCGGTGGATAATGGGCCCATCCTCTACCCTTCTCCACTTAAATATCAGGATTTTATCTGCAACAAGGTTTGAACCTGTGATGTGCACCTAATCCACACATCACACGATGCGCTTTTGTATACATATTTATATTAGTTTTATAACCATCTCTTTATTTTGAAGAAAGATCTTTTGGTCCTTAACGAATTTTTGATCTCTAGTGGACCTTGATCATCTAGCAGAGAAGAAAGAACAGATGGAACTTGCAGTTCCCAAAAAATCCTTCCACTTTTCTACAGAAACAAAGGATTAAACATCTACTCAGATTCTATGAACAGCTGGGGAATTGAATAACCAAAAAGGTGTCAGAAACATGAGAAAGGAAAAGGTCCCAAAGAACCAATATTTCTTTACGCTGTTGAATATCTTTTTGATCAATCACAATGCGATATTTCAAATTTCTCATTACTAACAGAATCCAAATATCTTTAATGACAAGATCCTTTATACTACCTGAACTAGATCTTGTGCAATTATATTGAATGTTTGACTGATAAACTTGGTTTTTTGACGAAAAGGTTGGTCCTTGTTTACTATCGAAATTTTGTCCAACCAAAGCATTCTCTATATGTTTTTTCCAAAAATCTTATTTGATTGGGTTCTTCTCCCAACTAACGAGGAGATCTTGGTGGCATGTCCAAGAATGAAATTGAACATAGTTTTTGCAAAGAAATAGCACACTCGTTTCTCGAGAATTGATGAGAAACATGCTCAATATCATTTGATTGAATAGCTGAACCAGATACTTGTTGTTTGAAGAAAAAAAAACCTTCCACTACGATTATTTCCTTTCACAAAAAGCAGACATGAGATAAGAAATTTAAAGTTACGCTAAGAGTTCAAAGTGACAAAAATATTAAGCAAATGTGATGAAATCTGACCTGAATGATAACATGTTCCGCACCTTTGGGGCATTAGGCATGTTCATAAACAGAGAAGTGGCGAAAAAGGAAATCCGCCTGCGAGCCTCCAAGTTGGTAGGTATACCCAGTGCTTTATCTTCTACAGTAAGCAGTAAACGGAACCGCTTGACCTACCATTGAAATTAAACAAGTCGCCATAAACGCAATGGGTTTGTGTAGCTATGCATATGTTTTTAGTTAGAGGGAAGTTCGTGGATGAAAAAAAGATGAACCTTTCAGATATAAGAACTTGCATATACAAGAGTAAGAGAAAGATAAGTAGTAAAGTGAGTTGCAGCACCTTTTCCATTAAAGAACCACTATCTGGCAATGGAAAATGGATTGAATGCTTAGATGCAAACAGTGGTGGTTCAATCCAACTGAAAAGTTCAGCGACCTCTTCCCCACTTTGCAGGTGAGCATAAAGTAACTCCATTGTTCTACAACCATGCAGGATGATTAGACACACAACAAATATAAGAATCTTATGACTTGAAATTCTTCAGCCATCTAACCTTGATTCATTTAACATCAAATCACTTATTACGAGCTCAAAGATATCTTGAAGTGCCAATACGACTTTGTTATGGTGGCTTTCATTTCCCTCAATCTTGATATACCGATTTGCGTCAATATGGAAATCGTGAGTGGGACAAATGAAGAAATTGGTAATAGTAAAGGAGCAAAAGGTTGATGTTTGCGTGCAAATTTACCAGAAGCTCAAGCAATGTAATACACTTAGCACTTAGAACCGGTAATTCACTCATCTTCAAGTCCTTGAGAAGTGTTGATCTTTGAATACATTCCTCAATCTCATCTAATATACCAGAAATGACCCTGAAAAGTGGACAACCATGCCATGAATTGGGACTCTAAAATAGAGTAAAAATGCAGAAAGTGTTGTCCGCAGTATTGGTATCAATATTAAATTGCATTTGAAATAATATAGTCTGTACAACCTTCTCTCAAGGTCACCAACAACAAGAATTTCGAGGATGTATTTCAGTGATTCATAACACTCTGTCACAACCATGTACATGTACGTGTCCTTCTTTATTGTTCTTAAAAGCACTTCATCCTTTCCCTCAAAGTCTCGTGCAATACTTAGTGCTTTCGAAAGCTACCAAAAGACGGAGAACAAGTCAAAACAATAATGAATAACATGCAAGCTAATGTAAAATTAGACAAAGCTCCAAGCTTAACATGGTACCTTATCTGCTAAAAGAAAAACAGGCCAACAAACTCGACCAGAGAATAATTCTGAAAATACAGGCATTTTCATCAAATCCATCTCCCTGTTGTCAGTTATTACAGAGTTCTTAGCTTTTTAGTAAAGAACATCATGTCCACATAAGCTAGAAAGAAATAATTCTTTTTTTTTAATCGGGATAGAGCTAGAGAGAAATAATTAACCTGTCACTTATCACGTCCTCCTCCCGGAAGCTATTGATGATTTGGTTCCATACAAGAACAAACTTTACAACATTGTTCTTTTCCCTTTCTGAAAAGTGAAAGTTCTGCCAAACGGAACTCCAAAGGGATGAGATAGAGAATTTTAAAGAATTGGAAAGTAAACTTAAAAAACCAATTGTAAAAACCTTTTGGAACGTCAGAGGGATGAGCCAATTCTTTAGAATGTTTCCAGTATCTTTTGCTTGGGGTGGGACAAGACGAGCATTGAAAGCATCAGGTAACGTGTGAAATCTACTTCTCAGCATTCCTAGCGTCCGAATCTGTGGTGAACAAAAGATATGAGAGTATCCATATAACGGTTTAAAATTAACTAAAAATAACTCACCTCACCAAGATGGTGGAGGATTCCATACACTCCGCCAAAGATGGAACAGTAAACAGAATACCAGATTTGTGCATCCATGAAATATACCTGAAACAACAACAAATTCAGCACAGAAGAGATTTATGTAAACAAAAGAAAATGAAGCTTCAGAAAGATACGATGAAATCTTAATAGACCTTACAAGTACAATTGGAGCCCATATAGCAGCTATTGCTCCAGCATTGCTCTTGACTAAATTGGAAGAAATCATTCAGAGGATTTACAATCTACACTCTTCAGCTACTTAAGAAGATAAAAGGTTAGACATTACCTTTAGGGAAAAGCTCGTGCCAGTCATAATTTTTCACCCCGATTGCCATGATCTGTCTTGTAGGTGATATAAGTGGTTTTATCTGGATATTTCATGAAAAGTTAACATGAGCTTGTGGGAAAAGATTTCTACACAGGTTAATTGAAAAGATGTTTCTTCCCAAGTCTTTCAGAGCAGACAAATAAACATATCCTGTTGAATGTTAAAGAATTTCTCTACAAGTCAAGGACTTGGGATTTGCACATAATTTTAACGTTAGTTGGTAACATCATTGTAAAGAAGGGATATCAATTTTTGCATCTGATAGTATGCTGTTCAATTGCAACTTTCAGAAAATCAAATTGTAAGGCCCTATTTGCTATAACATAAGATGTTTCCGACAGAAAATATATTCCTTGGGAATAGTTCCACTAGAGAAAATCATTTCCCACGTCAATTTCAGTGTCTCATTGGATACAAAAGTTGATAAATGTGATAGTGGAGGAGGGTGGGCGTCGAACATGGGCTGGAGGCATCGGGTGATATTTTAAGATCAGTAAGGAGCACAAATAATGTTTTACAAGTTGTTAGCAACAAAGTATATGGATCAGGAATCAAGGAGTTGGACTAGAAACTGACTTATGCAAAATGACGTAAATCATTTACCTTTATTTGGTGAAAATATTTTCCTTAATAGTTTTAGAAATGAATAACTTTATCAAAGGAAGGATTATTCTTAAAAACATTATACATCATACCAAGAAGAGGTAAAGCAATTATTGCAGGATAGCGCAGTAATGTTATTCAACTCATTGTTCAGATAAAGAGTGTCGAAAACTCAGATGATATTGACCATGTGTTCTTTTAGAAAATACAGCACAACTACAACTACTATGCCTCATCCCAAGCTAGTTGGGGTCGGTTGTATGAATCCTCATTATCATAAATGCTCTGTTTTGGTCCATAATATTTCAGTACACTATACTTCAGGATTATCTAACACTAGAGGTTCTCTAATATACTCTAGTAGTTATATCTCTATTATAATAAGAGTCATCTAATAAGCACTAGTCTTCTAGACAGACAACACTAACATACTAAAAACTTTGGGTAGACAATATATAAGAAACTCATAAACATTCATAAAATAAACTTATTTTCTGATTCACTGCTCATGCATTAAAAAAAAGGGACATGTCAATGATCTAATTAGTAATACTAGCTTGTAAGCCAAAAATAAGGCTTAGAACCACTCACCTCAAACGCGTAGCTAAATATGAATTTGCTTATTAACAAGAGCATCCAAAAAATGGTATACCTAAAACCAGAAATAAGGCTTAATGAGGAACCCATCAAGAGAATACTTAAAATAATAAAAAAGGCTCAGAGTAGGTACATAGGATATACTTTAGAAGGGAGACTTGGCTTTCTTGCATTCCTCGGCCAACATATAGCTTAGGCTGCATTTTGAATACAAAAACTCAACACTGACATATAATGAATAAGAAACACATACCATTAAGTAAGATGAAAAAGCACTTTGCTTTGTCAGAACTCTTTTAGGTCATAGAATTATAGGTCAGACCAACATGATATTGACTTTACTCTCAAAATACTAAATATGAAGTTCAAGAAAGAAACACCTTATTCATGCAAATCCTGTTTGCAAATCTCATGATAGGATTAAGATTTGGTCAACATAAGATGAGATGACTGGATATTTTTTATCGTTACTTCTATTTTATTCTTCAAATTTCTTTTGCAGTCTGGTGATTTATCTGCTCAAATAGTTGGCAATTGATATGCAGTTAAGCTCAGATATCTTGTAGATTCCAGAAAACATTCATGAATTAGTCCTAAGCAGGCTGAAAAATCAAAAGAAGCTGTAGCAGGACAAACGATAATAAACAGTATGTATTGCAACCCTAAAATATTTAGAATCTTTGACTGCATTGCTCCAACACATTTGTGCAGGCTAGGATCAGGACACTGAAGGTTTACCTGAGTCCACCAGGATAAGAACATGCATATCCGGTAATTGGAGGTCTCGATATACTTTCCAACCACAGGCACAAAAAATAGAACCATGTCAATTGCATTGGTCATCAAGTAGAATGCAACTGCAACCATATAGGAAGAATAGCACCACTCTCCAAGCCAACTCCCACTTTGAGTTGAATAACAAGTATATTTTCTACGAGAACTAGCATAATATATGGGAAGAATGATGGTCCACATCATAGCAACAACCACCCTCAGCACATGTTTCAGAGTTTGATTGGGGTCCACTGTACATCGAGCTTTCCATGTAAAGATGATATCAAGAATAGCTGCAAGAATGAGAATCTTCACTCGTTTTGTCTTAATTTATGATAGGCAGGTAGACAATAAAATAAATCAAATAAGAAAAGCAGTAGACAATAAAAGAGACCTAGTGGTCCTAGCCAAAATATTTGCTCACCAATATACATAGGCGCTTGGAGATGACATTCTGATGCTTAAGACCAAAACTAACTATACATGGAAGAGTGACCATTGCAATTTTGGAGAACTAAAATAGTCATGAAAGATTATTTAACAGTGAACTGGGAGGAAACATTTTATTCAGGAAGAAAAGGAAACCGTATTTTCAAGATAATTTAAATCTTGGACAAGATAATTGCTCTTCATAAGAACCACCAAACAGGTTGTTGTACTCAAATAAAAACTCATGGGGAAGCAGCTTACAAAAGTAGACATCTTTAAGAGACATTAGCATTTAAAGAGATTATGGTATGAAACTAAGTCTTTCTTATAGCCATTGAAGTAATACCTTCATAGACAATATCCCACATTCATTAGTTACCAGTCTAAAGCACACAATCACACTCTATTAGCTATAGAGTAATGCCCTTCAAAAAAAAACTATCAGTTCCCAGAGAATCCCACTTATTGACAAAAGAGTGCCCGTTCTAATAATAAAAGTTCAAAGATATTTGAAAAATAAGAAAAAAGTAACTTCACTGGGTGCCAACATGCTGATATGGAAAGTTTAGGCGCGTCCTGAGATCTCTACTTATGAGGTAGTCAAAATGCCATAATGCAATCACTTCTGTCCTAAAATAGTTCTGTACCTTACGGGAACCACTTATATTCAAGTAGATATTTACAATCTTACCTTTGTTTTAGACTCACTATATTGTGTTTCTAGCACTTCTTAGATTAAACTCTAATAGATTTCTCCAAATCATGTCATACCATTTACAAGTTTAATAACCGCTGATGTGATAAAGATACTCATAACATCCTCGAGTACTGTTGCATCAAAGACTTGTAGAGGAGAATCCAAATCGTGAGATGCCATAATTATCATTGCCTAAAAGAAAACAGGCAAGAAAGGAAGAAAAGGAATTTAGTAACCCGGCAAGAATGTATACTTAAGCTATTGTTAATATCTTCTCTTTCCAAACACACCTGAAGTGATAGGATAAAAAAGCTCCACATTCTGTCAAAGCTTCTGAAAATCTGCCAAAATGAGCGGATTTCTACAAAACTCATCTTCCCCAGCCACTTTGGTTCCCGCACCTCATCCACTAGGATCTGAAGATCACAAAATGAAACTGTAATTCTGAAATTTCAGTATCTTAAACATTGGAAAAAACAACTGATTTGCACATGATTAGTCCTGGTGTTGCAACAAAGCTCAACATTTCATTGTAAAAGGCGGACAAGTAAGTTGTAGAGAGCAAATTACTTGTGTCCCCACTAATACAGAGAATCTTTAAAGCTAATATGTCACCATGCTCAAACACATAACAAACAGGAATACCACACATTGATATACAGAAGGCTGTATCATTGAAGGAGAAAAGCAAATTTATCCCTTCCCATAGACTTTAGGCAGTCGAAAGGTTTTAAGCCCAAGTATTTCTTGATTCAGCAGAAAGAGTAAAGTGGTAACGAAACAAATACGAGATACATTAAGATAAAACGCAAACTTGCATTATCAATGAAACGACAGGCCACTTTCTTCTGTCTACATACATTATTTGGTATAATTTGAAATGTCTAAAGTGTATCTTACCCCCATTTCTTCATCTTCATTAGCATCCTTTTTGTTGCCTTCTTGGTTGGCAACAGAGGCCTTTTCTTTTCGAACTTTGAGATTACTTGGAGATCCTATACAAAAGAAATCATGGTCCAGGCGCATGGGCCAACCTATTTGAAAACAATCTGGAGACCTGGAAAGGCGAAGCAACCAGCGCATCATATAAACTTCCTGGCATATATTTAGGAGTCCCTCAACTGAAATATAGGATTGGCATAGAGAGAGAGTTAGCTCTACCAAAAGAACTCATTCAGATCATCATAGTTCCTCCATGTCGAGTGATCAGCTGTTCCATTTCTGCTTTTCATTGCTTCCTTAAGTGTTTCACAGATAAGGTTAGAAACTGAAATTGCAGAGATCAAAGGTAAATGCATGTCCAAACTTTAAAGTACCTTATATATGACATCATACACTGGAGACACTACGTTGTTCAGAAAAGATTCTGAATTTCCCTGGTAAGCTGGCATGAGTTTTTCTTCAGTTGTCATGCTTACAGCACCAATTAGCATGCTGTGCAACTCATATGCCATCTGCAAGAGAGAATATATTTGTTGTATTTCAATCTCCAAATGAATGTTGAAGCTTAAATCATGAATCAGGACTGCAGATGCAAAAACATATAATGGTGAAACTCTATTCTTCTGTATCAAGGATCAATGTAGATCCATCACTTTTGTAGCTTAAGTCTGGCAGATGGCTGATCATGTCCGCCTAACTCATCATAGTAAGTGACAAAATATCACTGACCATGAGCACGGGGCCAAATTTAGCATCGAACTTTATAGTGATAAAGATCAAACAAAACAAAACCCACAACAGATGCTTCTACGAGCGCTTCTCTTTTGTTTACTAATACCAAGAAAGTAAAGAATCAATTCTCAAACAAGACTGAGAATAAGAGGGAGGATAGTGTAAATGTTTTCTTTTCACACTTTGCCACCAACATTTTCTTGGCGTGCAATTTTGCAGTAAAACATTGCAAGAAAACACTTACCATCCATTTCCAAACTATTTTCACCTCCACCTATTCTTATTTCTAACCAAATTTAGATAAATAGCTGAATTATAGCTATGTCTCATCTATTCATCAAATTTCCAGAACCTCATCTCTAGCTTAAGAAATTAATTAGACATCCCTTCTCCTAAAAATCAGGTCAATGATGGAGCAACAAGCAGTTAGACCGTCCTAAATTATTTCTTTTCTTTCTTTGCGGCACTGTACACTTTTTGTAGGGTTAGTCTTCAAACTAATAAAAGAACTTAGGCATTAAACTTCACTAAGTCAAAAAGGACATGGACTGATTATAGAAAATTCACTGGATGAAATATCCTTGAATACTTGCTTATTTCCTTTCTTTAGATCTTTTAGAATCTGTTTTAAGTTTAGTATTGGAAGATACAGTAATTTACATCAATAAGAAGAAAGGTTAATGTCATTAGCCCATTATGCGGTTATTTCTGTGAAAGTTTTAATCAAGATCTTTCTTGTAAGGCAAACGCGCACTAACCTAACAGCACAGCATGCGGAAAAATCTCTCACCTTATGAAGGTTGCTTTAAAGAGGAAAATAGAACCAACAACATAAATTATCTAAATTTTATTTGAACCTCTGAAGACAGCTTGTATTAAATATTGGTATATGGTAATAATTCAGAGTAAAACTACTTTCCCTGCAAGTCAATTCTTATATGGAGTCACTTTTACAGAAATGGTATAAAGTGTCAGCTTACATGGTGAAATATGTAACACAGGCATTCTGGCATAAATCTTAAATTAGCAGCCTCTCCCCATATCAGAAGATAAAGACCTATATACAGAAGTTTGTATTGCTGAGCCTCCTGTTTCAAATATGGAACCCTGAACAGTGACGAGATAACGAAAAAGCTGTTAGAGAGTGAAGTGAAGTAAGAAGAGAAATAACAACTTCCACTAAGCAGCAGGAATTTGAATTCTATGGTTCTGTCACAGACTATCTTACCTAATATTGCTTTTTCGTCCCAAGAATTTGCACCAATCTGTATAATTTTTAAAAAACTTCTTCATCAGCTCATCAACGGCAACATCCCCTAGCTAATACCAGGAAAGCAAGCATAACATAGCTGATTAAATTGACACCTTAACTAGAAAGAGCCAGGTAATACTTGTACTGCACCTTGGGTACTAATACTTGCTTCTGAGTCTGCCGAACATGCGCATTAGCAAGTAATAAAATTAAATGCTCTCTCTGATTGGCTACATTTCCTTCCTGACAAGAGAAAGGTGATTTTAATTATTGATGCCATAGACAGGGAGGATAAAATGCTTAAATTGAGAAGTGCGTAGGAACTGATTTTTCCAGCTTTGATAACCTTGATACAAACAAAATGTACAAAGAAGAAATGGTGATTGAACAGAGAATTTATGAACTGAAATGCAATAGAGAGGTTAATACTTGAAATCCAAAGCAAAACTGGAGCCAATTGAACAAATCCAGGTTGGTTGTGTGTTTTCGACAATCTTCCAGGAAAGGCAAACCACGAACATCACGAACTGCTGCAACCGCAACTTTAATCTGTGGAATATTAAGCTCATTATTATAGCTGTCACACAAAAGGAAAGAAGACAAAATTGCCCAATAGATAGGCTTTTTTCACCTAACATGGGAAAAAAGGGGAAGCAATTGCTACACTCAAAACCATTTAGCCAGTTAAACTCATATAATTATCTATACATACCTCAGGGAGTTGCATGATTGCATGATGAATTCCTCCTTGATCAAGAGGAAGAATGTTATACGACACAAAGAGTTCAGATTTGGCATCACGACTCTCACTCCCAGCTAGAGCCTAATAAGAAGACACATAGAAGGTTCTATTAGCATGCAACCAAGATTGAGCTAACCAAAGTAATAAGAGAAGGAAATCACATAAACAAAACCTGAACACCTGCTGCTCTGGAAACTGTATCCGATACTTCAAACAACACTGAAGCAATGGCACGTGCTTTAGTCAGCCTTTCTCTGTGCAAGTAGAGAACATGATACGGTGATTCTACGGACATTAGCGCTCTTGGTGCCAAAGATAAACCCTGATAGAGTGGAATCATTACCTATTTTCTAGATGACTCTCTGCACCATATTTGATGATGTAGTCTTTATACTCACGATAAGCACGTCTAAGTTCACGTAAATCAGTCTTTTCCTTCCTTTTCCTGAGAGTAACTTCTTCATCCTATAGTTCATAGAATTAGACAACATGACAATTCAATAGCATGGATCTAGATAGAAATAAAGTACCGGGAAACTATTACAAAAGCTATTAACTCTGCTCAAACAGTTGAAGATGGTAGGTCCGGAATGAAATGAAATGGTGCTAAATGTAGACTTGAAAGTTCATATTGCAAGTTACAAACAAAGAACTGAAGCAAATTTTGAGATTGGCATTTCAAGGTCTGGTATGGACTATAAAAGAGGACTTGGTCCAATAGTTTCTGCTTTAGAACAAAAAAGTGAAGTTTCTGTTTAGAAATTCAAATGCAGATTATGAGTATAAACTACCAATCTTAGATTTTCCAGAATACGTTTTTCTTTTCTCCTCTGAAAGCTTTTTACTAGTTCAAGTCACTAATGACGTTAAAGATGACAGGGAATCCTGCAGCTCTATTTCAATACAGCTATATTTACATTCAGATTGAGTAACTGTCCTTTCTGAAGATAGATTGTACCTGTTCAAGCCGTTGAAGAAGAGCAGTTTTAAACTGCCGTACTCCTCGACCATTCGAATTCCTGTCCAAGTTATGCGCTACTTCAAAAGCATGAAAACGACCTGCTTAAGAAATCTGGATTAATCACTTATCACTGAAAAGAAAATAAGTAACATTAACAAAAAGAAGAAGGAAAGAATGAAATGAAAATAATTAACTATATTTGTTTCGGCACGTTCATTTCCTCTGTACATTATGGTTGTATGGATGAAAAAAAGAACTTTTAACGCACACACTACTCTTCAATTTTTCATTTCTCAAATTTTTATCCCTAAGATAAAAACTAGAAAAGCAAATACTGTTTTTGATGTGCATAATTTCAGTAATATAAAAATGTTTCTTACCACAATGTAGTTCAAAGAACCTCCTTGGTGCAGGAAAGAAAAATACATGGTTGAAGGGAGAATCACAGACAGTTAGAAGAACCATTAGACAGCTATTTTCCAGATGAGTTGAAATTCTCCAATTTTGACTAAGTTTATGGTCAAACGGGATAACAAAAAGTGGTGGACATATTATCTAAGAAAAATGTATTGGTAAAGTTGAATTGGAAAATGAATCTAACTTGTTGCTACTTGAATTTTTTCGAACACACACTATGCACTTGTAATCCTAATTGAATTTTGTGCACCGACTAATTTTTTTTAAACTATAAGTATTAAGCCCGATAGTAACATGGAAAATAGTTCATGCGTTCGAGCCATGGAAACAATCAGTAATGCTACCAGACTGCCCTTTTAGTAATATGGAAAATAGTAGAAATAACCTATTATTAACTAGTTATTTCCCACGTGCAGAGACCTGGGATCGATTCTCTCACCAGCAGCCTCCTCAGTTAGAGTGAGCTTGCCTAGTACGGTTTATGATTTGCGAGCTATTGCACAGTGAATAAGTTACCCAGTGCGCACCTGAAGGGTAGCGGCGGCTGGTTTCCTGGGAATTTTCCAAAAAAAAGAATTGCATTGATAGTGCAAAAACTACTAACTTGCTAGTGTATATAACTTAAATCTAATTCTAAAACGACCTCTCCGAGTTCATTGAATTATCAACCCATGACTGAAAAGAATAACACACTGCCATTTTTTAAAACTATAACAGCAAAACAAGCAATCACAGAGGAAGAATTAGATAAAGCCTTACAAAGATAAGCCACACGAGGCTCCTCTGACTCAATAAGATTAGCTACTCGAAGAAATCTTTGAATTTCTGAAATCAAAGTCACTGGCAATTTCTCACTGTCAAAGGGCTCAGGCACATGATCTCGCCCGAAAGTGATTGATCTAGTGAAGGGTCTTTCATTGCTTGTAGTATAACCTCTTCTGCTGGTACTAGCAGCAGTAGAAGAAGTACTTTCTTGAATGGGTTCTGCAAGTACAATTTCTGCCATTTTGTGGAAAGCCAAGAAACATTTGGGAATGCAAAGGAGAAATAATGCATGAGTTTGAGAGTATAAAAATAGGATCTTGAGTGTATATACATGTTGTTTGGTTTGGTATCAACAAAGTGTGATTTTGCTTTTTGGTTGCTTTTGGGAATGTGATCTTTTTCACTTTTGCTTTTGATGCTGTATTGTGTTGTGTTTTCTGTATCTTTTGGACTGTGGAAATCAAAAAAGGAAGTTGAATCAACTTCTTGGCGGGTATTTTAATGTTAAAAAAAGCTAACAAATGGGACCCAACAAACCCATTGTTCACTTGGTTAAGGCATGACATAACATAACATAAAGAGACCATTCAGTTTTTTACAAGAAACTTAACCCTAGGTTTTTGTAATTAGGTTAAGATAAACTCAGCTTTGTTTAGTTTTTATAATGTCTCTCTTTGTCAAGTCAACTTTTAGGCAAATTTATTAGTATACATAGTTGAAAACTACATAGAGAAGAAACGTCACGACTCATCCCTTTGTACGAACTTGTAGAATGTTGGGGGCTTTAATTTAACTTACACTGCAAGATTATGAAACATAAAGGAACTTTGCAGTTTTCCAAAAACTAGGATGATCCTTTGCATTCTGAGGTTGGTCTAGCCCCGTCAATAAAAATGAGCAAACACCAATTGTTAAGTAAATTATTTTCATACGCTTAAGCTTTGATGGACAAAGCTATTCGATACTGATAGAAGGTGACAAATACTTACTGAAGTAATCGAGATGCTTATAAACTGGTCGAGACACAATTGTAATATTATTTTTTTGGCAAGAACACCACCGTAATATCCTTTCTAATGTTTCTTGATTTTATTATGATAAGAGTTTAGCTACTTCACTAGTGAAGTCTTATGTTTTGGCAGAGCTACTTTAATTGTTCACTATAGAAGAAGCCATACATCAAATTTATGGCTTACAAGTTGTCAGCAAACAAGTACTAGGAAAGATCTGTTGTTAAGCGATAAAGACTAGGCTTGAAGCAATTAAGCAAAGTTAAGTAAAGGGAAAACCTTTATTTGGGTGGAAAAAGCTTCACCTCCCTTTTTCTTTAATACAGACTAACTCCAAATAATTGACAGGAAAGTGGGGGGTGCGTGTGGGGTATTCAGCTTTAACCTTTTAAAAGGTCATGAGACTAATTTTTTTTGCAACTACTGTAAAAAAGAAAAATAATTACAGATTTCTCTCTGATAGGCCATGAGGCAATCAAAAAGTATTACTAGTAGGCATTGGAAAAGTACCTTATAATATGACTGCCTTTTGCTATTCCTTGCCTGTTAAGGACAAAAAAAGGTCAGTTCTCTTCAGAGGATCTGATGGGTTCTTTGGTAATTGGAAATATCAGTGCTAGACTAGACACGCATACGTGTAAACTTCTAGCTTTAAGCTACTGCAAAAAATTTCAACTGAAGGTCACCTAGGGTCGACACCGTATTAAAGTTTATGAGATCGGAAATTTAGTTCTTTAAAGTTATTGAAAATTAATAATTTATATAATTAATTCAATAAATTTTATGAGAAAAAATGGGAAGTAGACTAAAGTTTACAGCTCTATCTCTTCTAGGGTTAGGGGTTGTAGGTAGGTCGGGTTGGTTCGGATTTTTTAATTACCAAACCAAACCAACAGTGTCTGGTTTTTAAATCTATAAATCATACCAAACCAACAAAGTCAGGTTTTTCAATCTCGATTTTTCTCGGGTTTGTCGATTTTTTTCGAGTTTTCGGACTTTTTCTGCGAAAGTCTTCATAACACAAAATATGTAACTTGTGCTCCAAATATTTCTTTAGTCCTAGTAAGATACAACTATATAATGTATTTTTCAAGAAAATAACACAATAATATGAGATAAGTCATAGCATTATACTAAAATATTCAATAACAAAGATAATAAAATTGCATAAAGCAAATATTGCTAATTAATAAGCCATAATAAAAATTAATATAATCTAAAAATACTATATAGGTCATGCTAAAATAAGTATAGCTAATAAGTACTATTAATTACATAGCTAAGCATTAAGTCTGTTTGAAAAGTCACCCGGTAATTGGAATTGGTGTACTTACTAGGGTAGTAATTACACTGTCCAGTAATTACACAATATAGTAATTACGACGGCCTGCTTGTTTGTCATAACGTAATTACAGTGTAATTACAAGCGTACTGTTTGGTTGTACAAGTGCAATTACACAGTTAGATTAAATTTTAAATGAAATAATTATTAAAACTTAAAGGTTAATATAATAAATATATGCCTATAAATAATTTTTTATAAGTATAAATGATATTAGATTTGGTATTTAAGATGCATTTTTTTCTTGAATATACATTAATTAGTAATCATATATTTATAATATTATAAAAAATAATTGATATATATTTTTAAAATTAATAATATTAAGTTTAATTAATTATAAAAACAAAAAACATACATTTTGTAAATACATTGTGGAATACATGTTTGATAAAATAAATTAATATTTCTAAATATAATGTAATAACATTATTCCAATATTTGACAAAACTATTCTATCAATTCTAACTAAAATATAAACAACATGTAATGTGAAATAACAAGTCAATACTACTAAAATAAGTAAAGCGGAACAATAAATATAACATAATTTCAAAATCCAAAAAAAAAAAAAAAATAAGGTTTAGCATATCCAAATTCCAACATAATAAAAATAAGTTATAATACAACTTAAGATTAGGAAATATAATAAGTTTATGATCTCATTCAACAACGAATTTCTACTTTACCATCATCACTCATTATATGCCAAGTTTGTTAATGACTCATTATTTCAAATACAGAAAATGTTCAAAAATACCCATGAACTATATTTTTTGGATTAAAAATATCCTTTTCCACCTATTGGATTAAAAAAGCCTACAACATTTTTTTGTGTATTAAAACTACTCTTCAGCTTAGCAGAACTGATGTGGATCTTTTAGTAAGTTACATGGCACACTGTTATTGGTCCAGCTGGATTAAACTTAACCCATTTTATAATCCGACCTATAATATAATACCCGACCCAAAAGGTTAATACCAGAATACTTATTTAACAAAGACCCACCCAAATTCTTCATTCTTCTTCGTGCAGCTAGGTATCATGGCCCGCCACATCATCATGCCATGTAGATTCCACCTGACATATATTTTTCACATATGGAAAACTTACATATGAAATAGACTAGTACATGTGGGAAAGTTCTAAAGAAATACAGAAATTTCTCATGGAAGACCTTGGAACCCTATGGAATTGCTAGAAAAGTCCTTAGAAGATTCTAGCTATGTAGAATATTCTAGATAAGGAACTTACTTGTAAATAATAAGGGCCTTGTGTAATAATTATTATTTACTCACTAGCCCTTAGGAGACTAGTATATAAATAGGTTATTCATTTGTAACTCATCAAGCAAAATAATAAGTTCTCTCTAATACAAAATTTTCCTTTGGCAATTCTATTGTGTTCTAACATTCCTTAGCGATCTTTAGTGTAGTAAGGTTGACTTGGCATTACAAGATCATGAGCGAGTTGTGCAAGATCGTGAGCAAGTTTTCAAGTGCCATATATGTGCTTAGTTCAAGACTAAGGACGTGACAATGTGGTATCAGAGCAAAAGGCTATGACTAAAGGAATGTTAGAAATAATACAAGAGATTGCTAGAAAGAAGCTTTGTAGGGAATCATGGTCGGAATTACCAAGGGTGTGGTACTTGCAAAAGGGACATCAATGAAGGTCCCTAAGCAAAAGGAGTATGGTGGTGCACGAGACGCACGCGAGATGGACGACTTACTTTGAAGGATGGACAAGTACTTTGAGGTAGTCAATGAGGATGATGAAGTTGTTAAGGTACACAATGCTTCAATATACTTGACCGTGGTTGCCGCGCTAGGGTGGCGTCGGAAGTGTGCCAACATGGAAAAAAGGGCTATGCAAGATTGAGACGTGGAAGCAGTTCAAGAAGAAGTTGAAGAAGCAATTCTACCTGATGAATGTGGTGTACGAGGCTAGGCGGAAGCTAAGGGAGCTCCGACAGATGGCCACAATTCGGGAGTATGTGTGCGAGTTCACTACCTTAATGCTGCAAATCCCGTCATTGTTTGAGGAAGATTCCCTCTTCTACTTCATGGATGGGTTGTAAAATAGGCAAAGCAAGAGTTAAGAAGACATCAAATAGCCAATGTGGACGAGGCCATAGTAGTAGCCGAGTTGCTCGTTGACTTCAAGATGGAGCCTGCCAAGTCCAAAGAAGGCAACGCCGAGAGAGGTGGGGGAGATCATGACAAGGACAATGGGAAAGGCATAGCCGAGTTCAAGATAGAGCCTGCCAAGTCTAAAAAAGGCAAATCCGAGAGAGGTGGGGGAGATGATGACAAGGACAACGGGAAAGGCATAGCCGAGATATACAAGGGCAATGGCAAGGGGTCATCCCAAAATGGACATGGGTCCAAGAGAAACGGCAAGAGGCCGAAAAAATGGTAGCGAGTACGTGCCTAAGGGAGGGTACTACTTCCATAAAGGATCACATCAGGCAAGTGAATTTTCAGAGTTGGGGAAGCTTGCAGCAGTTATCGGGAACTTTGCTTAAGCACACAAGGGTAACACAGGAGGGACCGCCTGCATTAGGGAGATGTGCTCGAAATATAAGCCGAAAGTAGGGGATTCCAAAGCCTATCTTAGCGCCATTCAAATGGAACATGGTGGCAGCAAGAAAAGTTGGGCGTACATAGTTGAAGAGGATGGCGAGTTACAAAGTGATAGCACGCTATCAGACTTAGACGATACACCAAGCAAAGGGGTCAAGTTTGCTAGCAAGGATGGAACCACGGAGGGGAGCCAAATAGGGAGTGGAAGCATGTACCCGATGCTTGAGAAGCTTCTCAACTTGGTTGAGTCATGGGGCGATTCATACCAAGAGTAAGGAGAGGCATTTGATGGCGGAGGATCGAGGCCATCATTGCTAGCCGTCCAAAGTACAAACGGGACAAGAAAAAAGGTGAACAGTACCTTGTGACATGGAAAGGCGAACCGCTCTGTAGAGTATCATGGCTAATGAAAAAATATCTCCGACGACGCTAAGGCGAGGTACACACATACTTGTCGATGATTTGTGCCGAGGGCGGCACAAAATTGGGTGGGGGAGAGTATCATATCCC